TGAAAGGACGTAACCAAAATTACCACTCAGAGTATAAGTAAGTCATAGAATAACATTAGACAACACGCAATTAAAAATGTTTTAATTAAAGTTTCGAGAGGGGTCTGTTATATTAAAGCATCTACAAATACGTCAAGTTGATTTTTGTATTTTATTATATATGAGCAATAAGTAACAATCAATAAAAGTTCCAAGAAACAACAGTCATGTTTGAGCTCAGGTAGAATTTTTTAAAAACATTTATTACAGTTTAGATATATAATCAAAGTAATACTATGAAATTTATCATTTTAAATTACCATTAACCTGGATCTCTTTTTAATACCTAATTTGAGTATTAACATTAGTTGGCTTTCTCCACAATTAAGTAAGAAACATTTATCAATCAGTTTTTATAATGGTTTTCAAAAAACGACTATAGTATGGTTAAAAACTTATCTATAACATTAAGTACTTCCTATTCATCTACTCTTGTTTTAGATATTGTGCTTTTTTTCTGTCAAAGACTATGGTAACACTGTGTGTTAGACACTTTTAATACGTAAAATAAACAAATATAAATACGTGATTGCTATACTAATGTAAAAACAAAACACCGTAGGTATATCATACAACTTGCAACTGAATGTATTAAGAAGCATTACTTTGATGCCAAGGTTAAAAATATTGGGGTTAGCCTCAAGCTAAACTTGTTTAAGCTTTTGAATTTGATGATTTGCACCTTGATACGTTATAACCCTCAGAAGGTGAGCGTGGCTAAATATACAGCGAAAAAGCCACTTGTACTGGCATGAGATAGCAACTCCCAACTACTCAAGGTTACAGAAAAGTGCCAAAATATTGTTTTTCAGCGACAGAGATTATTGTAATACCCGTGAACGTGTATAAGTACACATCGCCAAGAAACTTACCCACAAGTTTCTACAACACATTAAAACACTTCGAGCCATTTGCCCAAATATGTTTTGAGACAGTTTTTCTTCTTCTATTTGTTGGTTGGATTTTGTTAAGCACAAAGCTACACAATTTACTATCTGTGCTCTGAGCACTACGAGTATCGAAACCCGATATTTAGTATTGTAAGCCTAAAGACTTATCTCGGAGCCACTGGGGCCGATATGGTAAGAAAAATGTATTAAGTTTAAAAAATTAAATTGCCAGAACTGAAGATGGAAAAAAAAAAATTGCTAAAATCTTGGTATATTTCTTCTCACTTTTAAAGTTGCTAGAAACAATGCTCTAGTGTTATTATTTTTTTCTTTTTTAAAATATACTAAGACACATACTTTGAATTTAATGCACTTTTTGCATTTTGTTCAACA